GGATGGAGGAAATACAAGCCATGGGGAATGGATAGGGAAAGGAATTGCTACTTTAAACCGACTTTTCTACTTTGTATACAGGGACTTCATATTGTATTGCATTTTTACAAAAGAGGTAACAGACTTGACCAATTTCATGCTCCTAGGAAAGTATCAAGTTTAAATTTGAACCCAGATCTTGTCTTCAAGCCTAATTCTGCAAAGCCATGCATCAGCTAACTTGTCCTATAAAGGGCAGTATTCACATGTGTTTCAGGGTTCTTAATTTCCCAGTTTAAAACGTTCATATGATCACTATTAAAAAATGAAATTCACAATATATTTCCTCCATTTTGGGGCTTCCTGATGAGAAAAAAGGAGCTATGCCTCTCCTATCTTCACCACACTCCCATAGGACAATCAACTGTGATAGGGCTTCCAGAGTGTTCCAAAGGAATGGTTCCTCAATAGGAAAACATTTAGATGTGATATAAATAGATAGAAATCTGGACTTCGATTTCAAGTTTCTGCCCTGGAAAATACTGGTTGAACATAATTCTTTGAAGTACGAGGACCCAAGTAAGGGATCTGGCAATGCCCTACTGCTCTTTTGGACTCAGATACTTTGTGAGGTATCATAATGAACTCTGAGATCCCCACTTTAGAGAAGGGAAACAAGGGACTATGAAGGGTAAGGTGAGAACTTTGTGTGTGTGTCATGGACTCCTTTGGCACTCTGGAGGAACCTATGGATTCCTCAGAATAATGTTGTTATTTTTTTTTACATACCTAAAACAAAATACACAAAATTACAAAGGAAATGTGTGTATATCTGTGTATATGTGTCTATATGACACATACATGCAACTTACATTAAAAGTTCACCAGTTAGGAACATCTGGATTAGATAATCACTGAGGTTCTTTCCAGCTCTGAAGTTCATATTCTGTGATCTGAACTATACGTGGATTAGAGATCATGCAATGTAAGCATTGGTTGAAGGAAATGGGGACTGTTAGCCTAGAATCAGAGAAGACATGCTCAGTGTCTTCAAGTCTTTGAAGGGCTGTCACATTACAGAGATTACATTCATTTTCTTTGACACTTGAATAACAATGAAGGAAAGTTGAAATGGCAAAAAAGCTGGGCTTGCTATCAGAAAAATGCCAGCAAATAGAATTCTCCCAAACTGGAAGTGGCTACACTGGGAAGTAGAGAGGTTTCCCTTCCCTCAAGGTCTTCAAGCAGGGGCTGGAAGAGAAAACACTCACAGATGGCTAGAGGTCTGCTGAGGTCCCCTCTAATGCTGAGGTTTTGTTATTCTGAGAGAGAGAGAATATAAAATATAGAGAACATAGATTTTTTTTTACCATTTCATTAATGAGGAGCATGAATAACTTTCCATGCTCCGAGGAATACCAGTGTAGCTACATTGCCAAGCTGAAGATGCTACACCCCTGTAATGTAGCAGGTGGTCTTCAACAGTTTCTGTGGCCCCCAAATTTATCACCCTGTGACCAATTTGCTACTGAACTCACCCTTGATTAGCCAGCCAGGTCCACAGTCCACTTCCTGGCTTGCACTTAAAATCTTTGAAGCTTGGAAGAACCTGTCAGAAATTAACCTCCAACAGGGAAGTCTTGGAGGGCCAATGATTAAGCAGTAGAGGAAAAGGATTAAGGACGGTGAATGTCCCGATGAAAAATAAATACCAATAATTACAAGTGACAATTGTGGAGTGTTTTAAAGTTTTCAAAGCCTCCAAGTGACTCTGTGTGTCAGGCACGATAGCCATTGTGAATGCCATTTTAGAGATGAGGAAACTGAGGCTCAGAAAAGCTAAACAACTTGCCCTTCATCACATAGTTAGCAAGTGTCAGAAGGAGGATCCCAATCTAGGTCTTCCTGAATCCAAGTCTAGAATTCTTTCCACTATACCGCATTGCCTCTTTTAAAGAAAGAGACCTAGGCACTTTCAAAACTGCTTTGTGTCTACAGCCTAGCCAGTATCTTGCAGATTCAGTATTAAGGAGAGGTTTTTTGAATTGATTCAAATCTATTTGAATTGACTTGAAATGAATTTAAAATTGATTGCCTTGGTCAATGTAAGTGCACAATATGTCATAATTTCTTAACTAATTTTTCTTTACTATTGGACTTCCTTCCTTCCTTCCTTCCTTCCTTCCTTCCTTCCTTCCTTCCTTCCTTCCTTCCTTCCTTCCTTCCTTCTTTCCTTCCTTCCCAATACTTTTTGATCTTTTGATTGTTATAGCACAGACAACAGGTGCCCTTTTTTGCTGTGGAATACTCATCCTGTGTATTTTTATAAATTTATGCTTCATCATAGTGTCATCATGTTTTCCCCAGGATCTTTGAGCCAATAATACTGTTTTCCCCTGGACTCTGACTTTACACCAGTTTCTCCCACCTGATGGTTATTAAATTAGTGCCTTCTTTAGAGATGAGTGTCAGCAGTTTAAAGTAAAATTTGATAGAGACCAGGAAGAGCTTGGGCAGCTAGGTCTCACAGTGAATAGAGTGCTGGGCCTGAAGGCAGAAAGACTCATTTTCCTGAATTCAAATTGGGCCTTAGACACTTCCTAGCTGTGTGACCCTGGGCAAGTCACTTAACCTTCTTTGCCTCAGTTTCCTCATCTGTAGAATGAACTGGAGAGGAAAATAGCAAACCACCCCAGTATCTTTGCCAAGAAAGCCCCAAATTGGGTCAGGAAGAGTCAGACACCATTGAAACAAGTGAAGAAAAACAACAAAAGGGAAAGCTTATTCACTCTGCAGTGCTTCCAAGACTGGATTCCTGAAGCTCCAGTTGTTGTCCTATGTCACCTCCCACTCAGGAAGATCTACTGCCTCCTGATTTGCGTGTTGGACACATCAGAAATGTTTATTTGATTGATGGTCTACTGGGGGCAAGGAGCAGGTAAGTGACCTATGCTTACACTGCTAGGTTGTTTCAGAGGCAGGGCTTTTGAACTCAGGCTATCTTGACCCTGAATAATATCTTCAGTCCTCTCTAGCAGGCTGCCCATCTTGAGGTTTTAGATTTTGGAATTTCAAGGGAAGTGTAACACAATCTCACATTCTTATAGCATTCTTAATATGTATTAATAAGAAGAACTAATGTTTACCTACCAATTCACAGTTTGCAAAGTAGTTTTCACATGTTATTTTATTTGATCCATATAAGATAGACTCTATTATTATCCCAGTTTTACAGAGGAGGAAACTGAAGATGAAAGAAGGTAAATAACTTGCCTAAGGTCACACAGCTAATACATGTTTGAACTAAGGCCTTCCTAGTGCCAAGAACAGCCCTCTGTCCATCTGTTGCTCAAAAAAAAAAATTAGATGAAAAGCGCTTTCTTCACAACAGCACCATGAAGCAGGCAGTATAAGTCATGCCATCCTCATTTTACAGATGAGAAAACTAAGATTGAGAGAACTTTGCTGATGTTCTCTAGATAAGCAAACTAGCAAATGCTAGGACCAGTACTTGAGTCTAGGTCTTCTGAATCTAAGACTAATGATCTTAACTCTTTCCCACACCACAAACTATTGAAGGATATTACTTCCTCTGTGTTATGAGTTTGGGGGAGTCTTTGTTCTCACCAGAGAAATAACCAGGGTGGTGTAACTGGAGTTTTGTTCCAGTGCATTAGCATCTCAAGGACTCTCAAAACATTTCAGAATCAATTGAGCTTTGCACTCAATTAGTGAGAATGATTATTTTAAATAGGAAACTATCAGATGACTTTTTTTCTCTTCTCCCAACGAACACCCAACACTTTATAGAAAAATTGCATCAGTAGAATTACATAAAGTTTAACCTGGTGACAAAAAAAAAAATTCTCCTATAGCCTGAATCTTACTAAGAGAAAGAAATCATTAGGAGGACAATGATGTTTCCTAGGTAAAATTCCTTAGGACTCACTCCCCAGTGGGGTTGGTTGTGGTCCTATAGCCCTCTCACCCACCCAATGATACTGGTATTCCCACTCCATCCTTAATTATTTCTCCATCTCCAGGAAATGAAAGTAGATACATAGCCTCCTTTAGTCTTATATTCTGAGCTAGATTAGGACAGGAAGGCAGAATGCCAGAGAAGGAAGAGTCCTGCATTTGGAGACTAGAAATTGGGATTCAATACCAGTTTCTCAGGTCGTAGCTGGGTGATCTCAGGCAAGCCAGTTTTCCTCTCTGGGCCTCAGTTTCTCTACATGTAAAATAAGGAGTTTGAATAAGAGGTTCTTAAAGATCTTTACCAATTATAGATCTTATGATTCTACAGCTTTGAATGAATTACTCAGGACCAAATACCATAATTAAATTTGTTGGCATCCAATAAACCTTAGAAATTTTTACACCTTAAAACATTTTTATTATGCAGTATGTCCTCCTTTTATTGCAGTCACTTGCTTTGAGCTGATTTGACATTGAGTTCACAATATTTTAACATATCCTTTAATTCTTCATCATAAAACCACAATTTTTCCATGTTGGATATTAGATTCATTTGTGAAGAATAATACAGATTTCTAAGTATAGACTCAATCATGGTCCATAGGTTTTCAATCTTGTTTAAATCAGGTGAATTCCCAAGCCACTGACACATAATTTCTATCCAAAAGTTGAATGGCCCAAAAAACCATCACCACCACCACCACAAAAAACAAAGCTACTCTCTCCCTCCTCCCAGATGATGATGGATGTGTCTGTGTAGATAGAGCTTTATATGATTAACGGTGTTGATTCAAATGACAGGGCAGTAGAGTAGGTCTGAAATTAGGGCTCTTAAATTTAAATCTTGACTCTTATAGAGTAACAATGTGATATTATTCATCTTAAGCCTCAGTTTCCTCATCTGTAAAGTTAAAGAGTTGAACTAGATAACAAGGTGTTTTCCAGCTCTACAACTCAATCATACAAGCCTTTTTAACTCAAAGTCCTGCAATACTATGGCAGTATATTTTTTTCTTTCTCTCAGCAGAAAACATCAGGAATAAATGGCCAGCAGAAACTACACCAGAGTCACTGAGTTCATTTTTGTGGGCTTGAAGTATCATCCAAAGCTTCAGGTCATCATCTTCCTTCTTATTCTATTTTTTTATCTCATTAACATGACAGGCAATCTGGGAATGATCATCCTCATCCGGGTTGAAGCCCGCCTTCACACCCCCATGTATTTTTTCCTCAGCCACCTGTCTTTTGTAGACATAAGCTTCTCATCCATAGTGGCTCCCAAAATGCTTAGAGACATCTTTGAGGAGAGAAAGACCATTTCTTTCCTAGGTTGTGCCTTACAGCAATGGTTCTTTGGGTTTTTTGTGGCCATTGAATGCTTCTTCTTAGCATCTATGGCCTATGACCACTATGTTGCGATCTGTAACCCACTGCTTTACTCCACTGCAATGTCCCAGAAACACTGCAACCAGCTGGTGGCTATCCCCTATGCTGTTGGGTTCATGGATGCCATGATTCACACTCCTGCTGCTTTCTGTCTCCCCTTCTGTGGCCCAAATGTCATCAATCACTTCTTCTGTGACATTTTCCCCCTCCTCTCCCTCATATGTGCTGATACCAGCATCAATAAGTTATTAGTTTTTGTTATCGCTGGGATTGTTGGTGTCTTCAGCGGCCTAATCATCCTTGTCTCCTATATCTACATCCTCACAGCCATCCTGAGGATCCACTCTGCAGAAGGGAGACAGAAAGCCTTCTCTACCTGCTCTTCTCATCTCACTGCTGTCACCATCTTATGTGGGACCCTCTTCTTCGTCTATGTGAGGCCTAACTCAAATTTCTCCATGGATACCAATAAACTTGTCTCTATGTTTTATACTTCAGTGATCCCGATGTTGAACCCCCTTATCTATAGCCTAAGGAACAAAGAGGTCAAAGATGCTATCCGTAGAATCATTACTAAAAGGAAGTTTTGTATCAGGATATGAATTGTGTGCAATGGAGAATGGAATAATGTAACATTAGCATGACAGGCATATCAGAGAAGTTGCAAACAAAAAGCTATTGGATACAAGGGTGGGAACAGATCATCATTGACAAAGAAAGGTTTCTTGGAGATCACAGCATCACAGATCTGGAGCTGGAAAAGACCTTGGAGGCCATCTACTCTGACCCTCACATTGACCAGTGAAGATCTTGAAGCCCAGGAGGAGGAAATTATTTCGTTAAGGTCACATAGGCAATAAGTTGCAGTGTGGGAATTTAAATTTAGGTCCCGGGATTCCATGTTCAGCATGAGTGTCACTTGAGTTGTTTCAAGGATATGTAGAAATTTCCCCAACAAGTAAAAAGAAGGAAATACATTCTAGGCATTGTGAGCTTTGTGAACAAAAGGGGTACACAGACTATGCCAGGGGTGAAGTGGGGCAAAGAAAATCCTGAAATATAGAGGGGCTGGAGGAGACTAATATGAGATGATGCTACTAGATGGTGAAGAGCTTTGAATATGAAGCAAAGAGTGGTTTTTGTTTGCTTAATTTAATGTATTTTAATCAATAAAATCAAAGGATAGCACAGAAGGCAGATGACATTAAAACCATTTCCATGCAACAAAGAGAACTCAGATAGATAAATATAATGAATGAATGTATTTCACTCTATTGAACAAATATTACAAACCCCATTTAGTGACTTTCAATAAAAAATTTACTTGTTAAAACAATTAAATACTGGCATTCAGATAAAGAGTTTGACCTTTACTTCTAGGAAAGGCAAGGTGGCGTCACTGAACAATAAAGAATGAAATGATAAATAGGTGCACCTGCAAGATTACAATGGAAAGGGCATGGTAGATGGACTAGAAAAGAGGATGGGGAAAGGCAAGAGTGGAAAAAGGACTGCCTGAAAGGAAGCTATAATAAAAGTCCAGGTGCCAGTAATGATGGTAGGGGAATCGAGAGGAGTCAAACCAAGACACATTGCGGAGGTGCAATTAACTAAACTTTATAAGTGATTAGAGGGGAGTCAAAGGAGACCTTGCCCCATGGTTCTGAATATGGGAGACAGGATGAATTTGGAACTGGCAAAGTTGGAATTAATATAGGGCAACTGGGACTTTGCCCCAGACACTGATTGGAAAATGCACTATTCCTGCCACCAGGGAGTGAACTTCTCACTGCCCCCACATGTACACCCTATCCTAGTGCCAAACTTTACCAAGCCCCAGGCAGCATGCCACCCCATTAGAGTTTTATGATTGGCACACCTATATTCTGGGGTGTCTTTCCACTGATTTTAAAATATACTCTCCACATGAGTTGTATAGCATAGAGATCTGCTTAGACTGAGTGGCTTAGGTTATGCTCAGGAGCAGGCATAAGCAGCAAAAGCAGATGGTCCCTGGCAACAGGCTACTACTGCTGCTCTTCCCCATCCATCGAATAGAGAGTGCAACTCTAGCCTTGCCTCAGGTAGTATTGGCCTCTGACCTCCCTTTCTACTTTGACCTTAGGGAATCTTCCTCTTTTGAAGTATAGGGAAATGAGCACTGGATTTATAGAAAAAGAATCTGAATTTACTTGCTGGTTCTGCAACTTTCTAAGTGTTACTAGGCATGTGGGATTCTAACCATTTCATTGCATTAACTTCTTTCCTGAGAACTCACCCACCTGTGTCTCTACTCCTTTTGTTCTGACTGGTAATGCCTTCACTGGGCCCAATATTTCAGGAAAGCTTCAGCCATGCTTCACTTCATTCCCTCCTCCTGGTCTATGCTCCCAATAACCTAAACAACCAACCTTCCCGTACTATCTACCTGCAATTCTGGAACCACGATCAAATCGATTTTGCTACTGCTCCTTGATGGGGCATGTCAATATGTATATGTACATGTATATGTATATGTATATGTATATGTATATGTATATGTATATGTATATGTATATGTATATGTATATGTATATATATATGTATATGTATATGTACATGTATGTATATATGTATATTCGTGTGTGTATATATGTATGTATATATGTATATGTGTATATATATGTATATATGTCTGTGTGTATGTGTGTGTGTGTGTGTGTGTGTGTGTGTGTGTGTGTGTGTGTGTATTCCAACTTGAAGTGTCCCTCTCTGGTTACCCTTCCTTTATGTCTCTCTATGTCTGTGGTCTCCCCCATTAGAATATAAGCTTCTTGGGGACAGGGATTATCTTTGCTGCTGTATTGTGTACACAGTATAGTGTTTGCCACATGTCAAGCACATTCATGTTTTGCATTCATTAATTCAGTCATTCATTCTTAACCTCTCTGGGCTTCGGTTTCTACATATGTAAAAAAGGTAGGCTTGGACTAAATGATGTCCAGAATCTCTTTCATCTCTGAACTATTTTCCTATGTTCATAGATCTCTTCATCTCATATTATTTTTACCTTCTTGGAATTCCCAAAGACAGCACAATCCTTGTCGCCCCCTCCAAAGCTGATTTCTCCTCCTCTCTCATGTCCTGACACATAGGGCCAGGAGAAGTTAACATTCTCTTTGCTCCCTATTGCCAGACTCAGTCCTTTCCTTTACCACCATCATTCAGTAACTATGTCTGCTTTAAAACTTACCTCATTCTATAATGATTCTTGTTGCTGTCATCTATGAATCTCCATGTCTTTCTTCCTAATCAAGAAGTTTAGTACTGAGTTTTCAGTCTTTTCTACCCCAACCCTTGCATCTTTTGAAGACTCTGTCCTTCAAGTTACTCAGTCTCTTCACATGCTATGACCTCTGTTTCTAATCTAACTTATCCATTAATAGGAATCTGCCCACTTTTGATCCTCCTGTCACGTCTACCTCCCCATTCCCATCCACAGCTCAAGTAAACATGTCCCAAGTACTGAAGCTCCTATTTAGTGATAGCTGCCAAGGATGGCACCATAGACAGTGAGATTGAAATTGTAGGGCAGTAGAAACAGACCACCAAAAGCATAGGAAAGGAGTAAAGAGAGCAACTCAACATGTGTGTATGGCCCAGCAGAAGTGTCTGGGAACCAACTGACCAAGATGAGATTAAAACATTTTACCGCTGTAAAGACAATAATTTGGAGGCAGGGGTTTTATTTTTCATTTGTTCATTTCATTTTGTTTTACTAAAAGGGAAGAGAGAAAAAGGAAACACCAAGAACCATAATGTTGGAGACAGAGACAGTCTGAGAAAAGAGAAATTCTGAGAAAATTAGTACTCTGAAAATTAAAGCACCTTGAAAATTGTCCTAAAGAAAGAGTACGTTGCAAAACAAAATGGAGAAACAGATGAGAAGACTTGTGTAGAGGGAAAAATCTGAGTCTTCTATCCTAATGAGCAACTGGTATACAAACTACATTGGAGAGTCTGCTGATTTATTTGGTGCTTGGCAATGTACTACATGAATGTAAATACATGAATGTAGGTGTATATGTAATGTCTACACAGTTTTTTTTTAATTATCAGGAATCAGATTAGTTATAATATTTTGAATGTGAAAGTACTAGAAAATTGACAGAGCTACAACATGAGGTCAATAATTAGTATTAAATTATTAATCTTTCAAAAACATTTTAAATCTATCTAGCTATACTGAAACATACTTCTTTCACTTCATTTTCCTTGTTTATTTTTATTTTTTCTTCCGCATTATAGCTAATATGGAGATAGCTTCCTGCAACTTCACACGTATAATCAACATTTTACTGAACTTCTCAAGGAGTCAAAGAGAGAAGGAGAGAATTTGGAACTCAATTTTTTAAAATGAATGTTAAAAAAATTTAACGTAACTGGGAAATATTTAGTGAAATAAAATATATTTAAATTTTATCTTGCTAATGATAACGAATATTTGTTCAATGCATTGAAAAAAGTTCTTTATAGTTATGAGATATTCACCTTAGTATGGTAGGAAATGAAGCATTTGGAGCCAGAGAATCCAGATTGAAATGCTGCATCTTCTCCTTATGACCTCTGTGATCCTAGACGAGTCACTTGACCTCTTTAGGCTTCAGTATCTTCATCATCAAATGGAAAGGATTGAATAAGATCTTTATGGTCCCTTTCAGCCATTTATGCCTCCGTGAACCTATCCTGGAAAAGTATAATAGAATTTCGGAGTTGGGAACAGCCCAAACATTTAGTAAACGAGATGCTATCTGTACAATAATCTTGACAATACTTCTGATGTGTGATCATCTAACCATTGCTTGAAGAATTTTAGTGAAAGGGAACAAACTTCCTCCTGAGGCAATGTTTCCCTTTGGAGCCTTTCTAAGCATTATACATTTTTCTCTCCTAGTAGTCCAACATTTCCTTCCTTGCAATTTCTCCCCATTGCTCTTCCTTTCTGTGTGCTTTCCTGGTTAGTGGTTGCTATATCCCCTGTTGGTCACAAGAGGGCACCAATACTACACGGGAGTAGAATATTTTTCCTTCACTTTCCTGATCTCTTTGATAGAACAGCTGCCTCATTGCCCTGTGTAGGTGTGTGAGAGATACCTGCATTATGGCATACCGACTACATGGTTCATGGCTCAGGGTCATTTGTTGTTCAACTATAGACAAATGGTTACTTAGTCTTGTAAGTATTTGATGAAGATAATCAGACTTAGGACGTCTCAACATTGCATCAAGCTATCAATGGCTATAACTGAAGATTCTTAGGATGTCTCAAATCTATTACCAAAAAAAAATACATCTGTCCACTTTACTGATACGTGCATTCAAAGAAATGTTTTCAGTTGAGGATGTCCTCCATCAGGATAATACTTTGTTTACTGGGAGCTTTTTTTCTCTCTGATATCACCTTTGAATTTTGTTCCTGCAGACTTGTAATTCTAGGATTTCTAGATGATTGTCATCTTTTTATTGCTTATATACATTCCTATCATGCATCCAGAAGTGTTAATACAAATGCTAAACAGATGAAACAAATGAATGTTGCTTGAGTTTATGTGGAAAACCACTC